TGGAGGTTTTTCTGCTTCCTTTGTTGGAGATTTGAGTTTTTCTGGAGTCTTGAGGTCCTCTTTCGTTGGTGAAGGAACTTTCTCTGGACTTTTCACAGCTGGAGGTTTTTCTGCTTCCTTTGTTGGAGATTTGAGCTTTTCTGGAGTCTTGAGGTCCTCTTTCGTTGGTGAAGGAACTTTCTCTGGAATTTTCACAGCTGGAAGTTTTTCTGCTTCCTTTGTTGGAGATTTGAGCTTTTCTGGAGTCTTGAGGTCCTCTTTTGTTGGTGAAGCAACTTTCTCTGGACTTTTCACAACAGGAGGTTTTTCTTCCTCTTTTGTTGGAGATTTGAGCCTTTCTGGAGTCCGGCTTCCTTCCTTGGCAGGAGATCCAGGTTTTGCTGGAGATTTGCTTTCTTCTTTGATAGGGGAAGTTGCCTCCTCCACTGGTTTCATGCCTGGGACTTTCAACAGTTCCTTGGTTGGTGACACCACCTTGGCTGGAGGTTTAGTCTCTTCTTTTGTAGGAGACATGACTTTGGCTGGAGATTTGGCTTCATCTTTTATAGGAGACTTAACCTTCTCAGGAGATTTGGGCTCCTCTTCCTTCAGTGTGGGCTTCTTTTCTGGCAATGAGGTTTTCTCTGCAGATGGAGATTCCTTTTCTCTTCCTGCTTCTTCACGTTCTTCTCCTTTGCCTTCTTCTTCTTCCTCCTTTGCTTCCTCTTCCTCTTCTTCCTCTTTTGCTTCCTCTTCCTCTTTTTTCTCACTCACTTCTTCCTCTGTCACTTCTTCAGTCACTTGCACTTCCTCCGTCTGCTCTTCTACAATCACCGTCTCCTTTTCAGATTTCTCCACCACTTTAATTTTCTCCTCGCTTTTCACTCTGATGTGAGTGGGAATGCTAGGGACCTTGGGGGGAATTTCAGGGAAAGGGAAAATCCCCATCCCACCTCCAAAGTGGCATTCCTCTCCTTCCAGCAGCTTCCTGTTTCCAAAAGAAAGAGAGGGAGAAAAACAAAATTAAAACCAGTTGCTCCATAGTACATAGCTCGTATTAATTCCATCGAAAGATGAGAGGCATTTGACCAGGTGAGCAGGATGGACTTAGCATAGCAACCTTTAACCTTAATTCATTAATTAAGGAAACCAAGCCCTGTGAAGAATGGTTCTGGATAGTTCTGGATAGGTTTAATCTTATAGAAAAGGTAACTAAGGGGAGATATGATAGCAGTGATGAGATGTCTAATGGACTGTCACATAGAAGAAGGAACAGCGTTGTTCTCTATCATCCTGGAAGGTAGACCAGAACCTACAAGGCTCAGGATACATATCTAGAAGACTCTCTTGACTTTATGAGCCATTGGTAAGGTAAATAGGTTACCACACAAAGTGGTGACTTCTGTTTTTTACCAGAAGTCTTCAAACAGTGACTGTGTCACCTGTCAGGGATGGAGTAGAAGGTCCTTTACTAAACAAGCTCTTGGACTAGCTGACCACTATCTTCACTTCCAATCCTATGTTTCTAATTTTAATGTTGACCTTGGACATTAATGGCTGATGATGCCTCTGAATTTCATTATTCAAATCTCGTTAGACAAAGGAATGAGGTGCCCTTACCAAGCAATACCCAAACTGATGTCTAAATGTGATTCATAAATCAATCCAACCTTCAGAAAACAGTGACTGGACTCCCAGGAAGCTATGGTTTGCTTAGTCTTGGTTTCTTGAAAAACCCACACTTGAACGGGACTGCACCCATGCTAAACCATGGCAAAACAAACCACATTATGGCATAACATAATATGTAATATGTGGGTTGAGCAAGTGGGTTATAGAGACACAATATGCAAGCAGGGAAGCCTGAAGGATTGGTTCACACCACAGGCTTCAGCTAGGTCAATGAAAGAGCAAGTGGCTGTATTCACACAACATGCTAAGCTTGGCTCACTTTTAAATTTGGTTACTTTTTTGGCCCTTGGAGTTCTGTGCAAACACAGCTGTTTGATCATCAATATATTGCATGAACCCAGAAAATGGGTTAATTCAGTAACCAAGTTAACTATGTTGTGAGAGCAAAGCTAAGGAGAATGTAGGACTGGGGGGATGCTGGGAGGAAGTGGGGCTCTGCAAAGAAGCATGGCATGGTTTCCAGACTAGGATATTCTCAAGCTCAGGAGCTGGACAGTAGACTTCAAAGAACCCAGGAAAAAAATTGCCATGTAGTTTCTACTACCCCTGCTGCATTTTGACCTACTCCAAAGAAAGGGGGTCAAAACATTACTGTGGAGGGAAGACTCAGCTATAAAGTAGTTACCCAGTTGGCCAAAGGCATCTGACAAGCCTAGATTTCCCAAAATGGTGCTTCGGCTGTGCCCTTCCATCTGATGCTAAAGCAATAAATGAAGCAATAGAGATGGTCCTGATAGAGTTGGTCCTAAAACCAGATGTTTTAGGACCAACTCTAAGAATTCCCAACCTGCTGGCTGGAAGATTTGGAGACAGCTTTTAGTCCTTCAGGAAGATGGAAGAGGCTGTTACAGATGTGCAGCTCAGGAAGAAATGAAATGATAACCCAAACTGCAAAATAAATGGATCCTAATAGGGAATTTGTATTCCACATTATCACACTATTCTTATTTTTCTTTCTTAATTCAGAGTATTGGCTAAAAAAAACCTACAGCCAAGGACTTTGGGCAAGAATGGAGTAATGGGCTAAAAGTAGCTGGGTCAACCTTTAAAACCAGGGTGGGAAGAAATGTTAGAATGAGGACACAGTTGGAGCCTTTTCATACTCTCCTAATTTGGATCTTTCTCCGAACAGACCCCACGTACCTGTATGCAGCTATCTCTATATCCAGAGCCATTTTGACATTGAGCAGATCTTGGTACTCTCTTAGCTGTGCGGCCATTTCCCACTTGGTATTCCTCAGCTCGTTGTCCAACTGGGCAATGGTATCCTATGGAAGAGACATCTGCTGTGATCACTTCTGCTCCAGAAAAGAAGGTGAGCTAACAGGGTAGACCTTTAGACAATAGTGAAGAACTTGTGGCCTTCTAGATGTTGTGGAAGCTTATGTGAGATTTTAGCTCCGCAAGGGTCAAAATTCTGCAGAGACAAGGATAAACCAGGGCCGAGATTCTCTTTCACTGCCAGTTCTTCATCCATCTTCAGCTGATGACCCTTCTCTTACCCAACTTCCCAGAGCGTTTTGATATGTTTTATTTACACTACTGTAAAGGTCTGTGGGAAGGACCTTGGGAGACAGGAGGAAGAGCCGCAGCCTAGACAACTGTCATGGAAAAGGTATCTCAGCCCACAGTAGGAAAAAGGGTGTGGGAAGCATTTCAGAAGGAACTCTCCATAAAATTTTCAGGAGAGTTAAAAGGAAAGGAGGTGAGGAATACTTTCAGAACTGCAAGATTCAGTGAATGTAGCCTTACCGTAAAGATAGAGCTAGTATTCATTGTGGTTCTTCTTGTCTGGACTACCTCGAAGGGCTAACAACTACTGCCTAGTTGACAACGGTCATTTTACTTCCTTAAAGAAAGCAAATTTCTGTTGCAATGGCATCTGTAAGGACCCCGGGAGTGCACCTTTGCTGTGCAGGGCCTGTCCTCTAGAATGAGGTTCCCTTCAAGATCCAGATGCCCCTCACCCCGTTGATGGTTAAGACCTCTCTCCCACTTTTGGGTAGTGTGGGTTTGATTTTGGTTGTTGCCCGATTCTCACCCTCTTTTGTTCTTATAAATAATATTATTTATTAATATTAAATATTATTATATTTAAATAAATAATAATAAATAAT